GACAGATTGTAGGGAACACATGGTCGTTGATCTGGATGGTTGTGCCGCTTCGGACGTTAATACGCATAATGCGCTGAATATGTGGATTGAGGGGCTACAGAACAAGGCTAGTGGTGTTGTTAGTGGGAGTTTGGATTTAAACAAAGAGATGAAAATTTCCTTGGTTTCTAGTGACGTTGTTAGTGGTTCTGTTGGACCAAAAATTAATGTTAGTGGAGGGCTTAAGACACTAAATAAAGAATTGGAATTGGTTTATTCCCATAAGCATAACCACGTTAGTTCCAATACACATGAAAATATTATTTTATCAAAAGCTGTAAAGGGATCGTTAATGGCTTGCACTAGCAATGTCTTGAGAAGAAAGTTGAAGTTTAGGAGGCGGCGAAAGGTAAGCCAAGATGTCAGAAGAGGTGCGGCTGATCTCTGCTCATCGGTTGGAGATTGAAATCGGCTGATTTAATATTCGAATCAGCTTTGATTCTTATCACCTCAAGGCACAGTCTTTTTCCTTCATTTACGATTAGAAGTTTTTTAATGAGTCCTCGAGGTGGTGTTTTTGTAACTGTTCTTAATACAAAGTATTATCTTTTAAAAAAAAAGTTTTTAAAATCTCAGATCGAATTTTTTCGGATAAAAATCGATTTTTTATCTGGTATTTTCAAACCGGTTATACTATCCGGTTTTTAAATATCTGATCCGGTTTTAAAAAAACCGATTTTCCCAAATTAATTTTGGATATTTTTTAAACAAAATCGAATATTCGAATTTTTGTGCACCTCTACTTACTAGCTTCTTGGGAGCAAATTTTTTATTTTCAGATTTGAGAGGATAACATTGATCAAGCATTCAAGCTTAGTACTTCGCCTGGATAATCTTCCACGTTTAGATTTTGTAAATAGTTAGATTAAAACGGCAGGATTCTTACATTTCTTTTCTCACGTAGGAATCCCCACTATAATCATTGTTATATTATTAAAACTGATCAATTATGTCTAGGATTGAGAATTTCAGTCATAATACTTCTATTCGGTTTTTATTTTTTCATATTAATTTTGAATTTGATCTTTATAAAATAATTTTGTTTTATGACCTCTCAATATTATTACATAAATTTTATATCATTTTATTTTAATACATGTAATTTAAAATCTATTTTTAACATTGAGTGAATAATCATTTTATTTTTTTAAATAATATAGATATTAACATTTTATTATTTTTTTGTTAAAATAACCATTTTTTTATGGAAACAACTAACTAACTGATAAATTTATTATTAACATGATATTTATATATGTGATTAGTTACTGATGTGATAAATGTGTTACTTAAAATAAAGACATGATATTTGTATATATCACGTCTTTAAAAGTAATAATGTGTTATATATCAAGTCACTAATTAAATACATGTAAAAAATATCACATCAGTCTATTAGTCAACTAATTATTTTCAAAAAAAATAATTATTTTAACTAAAAATAAAATGTTGAAGACTAGTTTAAAAAAAATTAAAGTGGCTGTTTTATCAAACATTAATGGTAAATTTTGACATTATATTTATTAAATATAAGAATATTTTTATTATAAAACTATAAATTAATTATAAATCAAATAAAAAAATTAATGAATTTAAATAAATTTAATTTTAAAATTATACAACATAAATAATCAAAACATTATATTCAATCAATTTTTATTTGCGATTATCGGCGTTTTTACCCAAAAATCACCCTGACGGTAATTAATTATCTGTCGGGCATCGTTTCAGAAAATTTTATCGATCTAGAACCCATCTAAGGATTTTTCTGAAATGGTGCTAGATCTATATATTAAGTGATTGAAGATAGGACTAATATACTCTAACAACCATTGCTCCGCTTGTGTTTGTAAAAATATTTATCTTTAAAATACATCATACATATTTATCTTTTAAATAATATTCATATAGTTTTTTTATATTTTTTATCTCATTTTATATTTTTTTCATTTTTTTGAAAAATGAAAACTAAATTTCAAATCAAAATTACAACACACCAAAATGTAGAGAGAAATTTGAAGACAATAGTCACCAAAATTCTCAAACAAAAGTAAACTATTAAACCTAAAGATACGAAGAAAAATAAAATCTTCCATTAAGAATGACAACCAACACCAAAACCCAATAACCTTTATAAAAACTCTTTGTCTCTGTCGAATGAAATACTTTACGAAATGATAAAAGAGTGGTGAGTGAACCAAACAATCTGGCATACTGTTTCACTACACAATTTTGATTACATCAGCAAACAATCTTTTATTAAAAGAAAAAATTTGAATATAAGTGACCATCGATAAACCAATATACTTCTTAAAAAACATCATTCTAAAAGTGTATTTAAGAAACATATCTTTTTTTTAACATAAACATGATATTTCATTTATCAAAGTCGTATCAACAAACATCTTGTCAAATACAGACAGAATAAATATAGTCGTGACTATCGAAATAACATATAACAATGATTGCTTAGAGATACCCTATAAACAAAACCATTAACAAATGAACCAAAAAACGTACAAAAACTGAACACACCAACAGCTCCGAGCATCAAACATGGAGGAGAGAAAGAAGAAGAACCAAAATGGCTAATGAAAAAAGTGAACTCCCTTTAACATCAATCCCATCCGACACCTTTATGCAATAATAAACGAACCGTCTTGAACAAGCGAACAGAGAAACAATGCATCGGGAAAACAACAACCATGCATTTAGGTAAAATAAAAAACCAAGAAGAAAACCAAATAAAAACTTGTACCGAGAGTCCCAAAACACCGGTAGCCTTAATACCCTTTACTAGAGAAAGGGTCAAGAGTATTATTATAGTAAATACAAGAAAACATAACTAAAAAGAGAGGGTGGTGGCCGGAGAAGAGCACCATCACTGCCATGAACTAAAAATTTTGAAAACTGTCAAGAGTTTGTAACTGCCGAAGAGTGTTTATGAGTGGTTAAGAAACATATCTTTACTAATAGAAAATGTATCAATCTAAAAAATAGACTAAAATATATATTAACTTTAGATTTTATTTTATAATATTTGGATAAAAAATCATAACGAAAACAGTTCTTTCGGATTTTTTTATCTCTTATTAAGTTTTTCCTTAGACAACATGACGATGTTATAAGAAGATATTAATGTAATTAAAATAAAAAAAATTAAAAAAATTAATGAAACGAATACACAACTCTTCAACTAACAAGAAATGTACAAGTAAGCTACCTGCAAAATTTCAAATTGTAGAATCACATCACATAACATAACACAAACCCGCTGCCTAAAAAAAAGGGGTAAACACAAATATTTAAAACTCTGAGAAATATTATGATTGTTTATAATAATTTTATTTCGGTTAGCCAATGAGAGATACTTGGTAAACAGTTATCAATCATTTAAATTAATGAATTTATCCATATTATAGATTTCTTAATTTAAGTAACAATCATTCATATTATTAACAAAAAATTACTAATATAATCAAAGGATAAAACACTAAATGTAGACGTAGTGTTGTTCCGTTACTTTTGTTTCATGTTCTCCATGTGGGTTATGTTTAGGGTGGGTAAAATTTGATTTGACTTAAATTTTTTTTTTAATTTCGAGTTATTCTAGTCAACTCGAATTATAAATTATATTTTTGAGTTCGGCTGAGTTGAAATTTTGAATTTTCGAGTTACTCGAAAAATAAAAAATTTGACCCAGTACTTTGACAGTTTTATGATTTAGTCTCTGATTTCATTATCTCTTCAATTCCTCCTTCATTTTAAGTCCATATTTTTACCAAATTTGAACCACATACTCTTAAATCATAGTAGAATACATGTGTACTTTCAATTCCTCTTTTTTATATTTTTTATTTTTCAATTTAGTCTTTCAATTTTTCATAATCTCCTTATTTTTTCAATTTGTGGTTTATTTTAAGTCTATTTTTTACCAAATTTGAGTCATATGCTCCTAAATCATAGTAGAATACTTGTGTACTTTCAATTCTTCTTTTTGATAACAAGTTTTTATTTTTCAATTTAGTCCTTCAATTTTTCATAATCTCTTTATTCCTTCAATTTGTGATTTATTTTAAGTCACTTTTTTTTACCAAATTTGAAATACATGCTCATATACCACAATAGAATACCTATGCAACTTTAATTGTTATTTTGTAACTAAAGATATACTATCTTTTTTATTTAGTCCTTAAACCTTTCATTGTACTCATTTTAGTATTTTAATTACAATTGTTTGCAAATTCTTTTTTCTCATCAATTTCTTGACTCATTTATATTCTTATTAATATTTTATCCTCAAAATAATTTCTTTAAGATATAATATTATGATTATATTTCATAATTTTAGATTATATTTAATATATTAAATAATATTATAATATAAAAGAATAATATATATATATATATAGGCAAATGGCTGAGATAATGTGTTAAAAAAATTCCTTAAATAGTCTATTCAAGTAATTATTTCTCAGACTAAAGTGTTTTAAATAGTAATTTGGAAAAGATTCCAAGATTACTCCGCGTCTTCACCCAATTCCTTTTTTTTTCTCTACAAAGTTGAAGATTCAAGTAATTATTACCATGCATCTTCATGAAAAAAAATGAAATCGTATGGCTTACCACGTGTCTTTGCCCTTGATTGTAGAAAACAACTTAGTTTAAGAAATAATTTGATGAGAGTTTTATGCTAAGAAATTCTTTTCCAACGTATTATTTGGGTGAGGAAGCCCTACATAATTTAAAGTTAGATAAATTAAATAAAATTAGAACAAATAAATATCATAATATTATAAATAATTATAATAAAATTAAAACAAAATTTTAAATAATTTGATTCAAATTTTTTAAATTTAATTCGACTTAAAAAAAATTAAATTAAATTTAAATTATAAAATATGACTCAACATTTAAATAATTTAAAATTTCCTAACTCAACTACGCACCGAATCCGATCAAATGCTGACTCCAAGTTATGTTAAACAATTTCTCTTTCTCTCTGGTACTCATTTATTACTCTGTTTCTCTGTGTCTCCTCATTTTCTCATGGATTCTTTTGGTCTCTTCTGTACTGGGGCTCTTCTTGCTTGCGGTCTTTATTGGTTCGTTTGCCTTTTAGGGCCGGCCGAGCAAAAGGGCAAGCGAGCCGTCCATCTCTCCGGCGGTTCTATCTCCGCCGAGAAAGTACAAGACAACTACAAGCAGTATTGGTCTTTCTTCCGGCAACCAAAGGAGATTGAAACCGCCGACAAGGTTCCAGACTTTGTCGATACTTTCTACAACTTAGTCACCGATATTTACGAATGGGGGTGGGGCCAATCCTTCCACTTCTCCCCTTCCATCCGTGGGAAATCTCACAGGGACGCGACGCGCCTCCACGAGGAGATGGCCGTTGATCTCATCCAAGTCAAGTCGGGAGACCGAATCCTGGACGTCGGGTGTGGTGTGGGTGGGCCTATGCGTGCTATCGCGGCTCACTCGCGGGCCAACGTCGTTGGCATCACCATCAACGAGTACCAAGTGAACCGTGCTCGCCTTCACAACAAGAAAGCCGGGCTAGATTCGTTCTGCGAAGTCGTCTGCGGCAACTTCCTGGAGATGCCGTTCAAGGACAACAGCTTCGATGGCGCGTACTCGATAGAGGCGACGTGTCACGCGCCGAAGTTAGAAGATGTGTACGCGGAGGTGTTCCGAGCGCTGAAACCGGGATCTCTATACGTGTCATACGAGTGGGTCACGACAGACAAGTACAGAGCTGATAACCCTGAGCACGTGGAGGTCATCCAAGGCATTGAAAGAGGTGATGCTTTGCCTGGTCTCAGGAGCTACAAGGACATTGCCGATATCGCTAAAAAGGTAGGGTTTGAGGTTGTGAAAGAGAAAGATCTAGCCAAGCCACCCGCCTTACCCTGGTGGACCAGGCTTCAGATGGGGAGAATCGCCTACTGGAGGAACCATGTTCTCGTCACCGTCCTAGCTGCCATAGGGATAGCTCCTAAAGGAACCGTTGATGTTCACGATATGCTGTTCAAGACCGCTGATTATTTGACCAGAGGCGGCGATTCTGGAATCTTTTCTCCCATGCACATGATTCTCCTAAGAAAACCCCAACTTCCACCTTCCAAATCTTAGCCTTTTCTTTCAGGTAATTGCACCATTGTCTTCAGGTTCCATCTTCTTTTACCTGTAGCTTCTCTAGAAAAAAAAATTTATTCCATAGGTTTCCCTTTTGTCCCCCCCCCCCCTAATTTTCTTAGTCCAATCTTGTAATTCCTTTTTTATTAAAGTTTTAATTAAATTCCAGATGTTTGATCCTTGGTGACAAGTAAAGGAACGATTTTTTTCTTCTTGAATGGATGGGATTTTTGTTGAATTCAAGTGGTTGTTTGTTATATTTGATTGGAAAAAATTAACAGAAGATGTTAATCTAAAGGTCACATTTATGTTAAATGTACAATTGTTAGGCTGTAACAAGATTTTGGATTGGGCATATATATAGTTAGTAGGGACATTTAATGAGAAAAGAAGTTAATATTTTGCTAAATGAAGGAAATAGTTAAGAGCTTTGGCGAGGCAAACATCAGCATGGATCGGATCTCTGCATATCTGTTAGGCATTTTGTGTGTTCTGTCGCGTTGTGTGGTGTTATTGGGATACATGTAGAGGGGCCACAATTATGTTGGATCTGTCAGCGTTTCCTCTCCTTCCTCGCTATATCGTATTCTGAAGAAGATGTACTGATAATTGTTAATTTATTAGTTGCTGTCCACCTTGGTTAAATCAGATAGTGTGTGGTTTGGGTTAAATCTGATATTTATATATTGGAGAATGTGAGGTCGGCCGAAGTGGGTTTAGTTGGATGACGAAAATTGATGTGAAATGACGCATTTCCCATTAAGAGACGTAAATGCTTTTACATGTGGCAAGGCATTTCAAAGGCCAACATGTATACATTGTCTCTGAACCTCTGGCCTGGCCTAATATGAGCTCACCTATGTTCATGATCAATTTAATCTTTTAAGTTATTATAAAGTCTCCGCATGCCAATTTTAAAACTTCAAACTAAGCCCAAAAGGTTCATTTGATAGAAGCCCAGTTGATTTTCGTGAAGAAGACTTTAGATATGTCGACTCTCAAGTTTGAATAACAACCTCAGAATGATGGCACTGTATTTCTTTTTCACCAACGAAGAGGACAATGAAAAGTCCAGCCAAGTGAGGTGAGTGATCGTACAAAATCTACCTTCCCAGGTGCTGAATAACAACGCAGAAAAGAATGACAGTAAAATATGTGGATAATATGAACGGAACAAGCCAAAACGAGTGGTTACCATTTTCGGACCACTAGGTTTTTAGATATCTTTTATCCATAGTTGTTTTTGTTAACGAGGGAGGAGACCCCCGAAGCAACTCCAGAAGATCGTTAGTTCTTTATCATTTGCTCTTGCTTCATCTCGTAATGGCTGCAATCACAAATTTCTTAACTAAACCGCCACCTTCTGATCTTCACTTTGCACCAAGAATCACTTCTCTTACTTCTCATGGTTCTTTTCTTTCATCCTTTGTTACTAGGCCGAGACCTTTTTCAACAAAACTAGAAACCTGCACAATGCCTCGATTCATTACCAAGGCCACTGTTTCCCCCGGAACAAAGGATGCTCCGAGTGATGAGAGAGTACAGAAGGTTCACAGCATCGAAGAATTCGATGAAGCTCTTAAAAAGGCTAAGAACAGGCTTGTTGTGGTTGAATACGCCACTAGCTACAGTTACCACAGCAGCAAAATTTACCCATTTATGGTGGAACTTAGCAGGACTTGCAACGACGTAGAATTCATCCTTGTGATGGGTGACGAGTCGGACAAGACCAGGGAGCTTTGCGAAAGGGAGAAAATCACCAAAGTCCCTCACTTTAGCTTCTACAAGAGCATGGAGAAAATCCATGAAGAAGAAGGTATCGGGCCAGACCAGCTTATGGGAGATGTGTTGTACTACGGCGACAGTCATTCGGGTGTGGTTCAGCTTCACAGTCGAGAGGACGTGGAGGAGATCATCGAAGAGCACAAGCTTGACCACAAGCTGATCGTTCTGGACGTAGGGCTCAAACATTGCGGGCCTTGTGTCAAGGTGTATCCGACAGTGGTTAAGCTATCTAAGCAGATGGATTCTGTGGTGTTTGCGAGGATGAACGGTGATGAGAACGACAGCTGCATGCAGTTCCTCAAGGACATGGACGTGGTCGAGGTGCCTACGTTTTTGTTCATCAGAGACGGAGAGATATGCGGAAGGTATGTTGGTTCTGGGAAAGGAGAACTTATCGGGGAGATTCTGAGATACCAAGGCGTCCGAGTTACTTATTAATGGGGGATCTTAAAATCAACTCATACAATTACAAAGTAGTAATATATGTTGGATTGTGAGTTTTACAGTAATGAAATGAAATTGTCTTCCATGTTGGATCTTAATTAATTATGTTAAATCATTTAAGTCCTCCACCTCTAAGTTGATTACACATAAGATTAATCATGTTCATATATTTAATATATTTTGTAATATATATTTATAGATAAAATTTATATGTTATAAAATATTAAAATCAAAACTTATTATTTTATAATTCCCACCACCATCAATCCTCCTAATATAATTCCATCTAAAAATTAATATACCTTAATATTAATTCAATGCGATTCAAAAAAATAATAATACTACTTTAACCATTAATTAGTCATGTTAGAAACGATCATCTCAACTCACTTTTAAATCCTGGAAAACAAAAAGAGAAATCGCTTTAAATTAAGTAAAGCATCATTTGTTAGTGTCCATCCATTATAAAAAAGATACAATAGCCAGAAACGTTGATTAAAGGTCGAACATCGTTGTCAGAGGCGTTGGCATGTCCCAACCGGACCACCTATCTTCTATAATTGACTTTTAATCCACTCCATGCTATGCCTGGTTTTGGTTTGTAAGTATTTTTCCATTTTGGCAGGCGGCCACAATTTTGATACAGAGATTTCACTTGTAAACGCAGATCAGCCAGTTAGTAATCTCATCTCTTCGTATTAAATATAACAAGTTTTAGTGTTTTACAGGCAATTGAAGTAGGGTATACACTAGCCATGTGAACATGACCCTTCTTTCATTAATTGTATTCGAAGGGATTACGTATAACCAAGGATAAAGTGGTGTTGATTTCGAAAAGCGAAAATTTTCAGTAGATTTTACGGGACGCCACTGCTGCTAATCCTTATCTTTTGTATGATGCAACACTTTGTTTAACAACAATCTCCATAAAAAGAAAAGAAGTAGTGCTCAAGAAATAGTTTATATTTTATCTGTACAAGAAACATATTCAGTTACATTACAGATTTCGCCATGTTTTATCAGTCCATGTTTGCAGTAATCAGACTGTAGATAAGAAATAAGAAGAAAGAACGAGGCGGGGAAAAGGCAACAAATATAGTTAAAAAGGAAGAATCAATTTGCGGTGACCATGGGATTCAATTGAAGGCGTCTAGGTGGGTTCATGGTTCTTCTTTTCCATATGTTAATTTCTTTCCTTGGCTGCAAAGGCACCCCACGATCACCACCAACCGTGATTGGCGCTGAGAAAGGAATGATCACGTCTTCCTCTTCAAAATCACAATCTCTTGCCTCATCATCTTCATCAGAGTAATAATCCCTACGATGATCAGCTTCCAAAGGTGCAATCTGAGTCGTCCAATCGAAACTAGCGAAAGCATCACGCCCACTTGCGAACCGCTTCATTTGCCCCAAAGAAGGAGCCCTATCAGGCACTTTCGGTTCATGCTCAGATTTCTTTGCCGGTTTCCCCATACTGAAAATTCGCCTAAACTTGGATGCATGCTTCTTCACTTGTCCGGAAGAAGAAGATTCAGAGACGTGATTAGTGGCTTTAGGTTTAGGAGGCAAAACACACTTACTTTTCTTATGCTTGATCTGTCCCATGCACGAGACTTTGGGTGAAGTCGGCTCTTGAGTGTGGAAGGTGTCAGCCTTGGATTTTGTTCGAGCTTCAGCCGGAATCATGGAAATGATTGGACCGGAGAATCCTTTCCCGGCAAAGGCTTTATGCTTCCCTGGGCTAAACGGATTGTTCTGAAAGCTGACACTCACGGATGAAGCTGCCTTGGGCAAAAACTTGAGCATCTTGTTTATGGGTTTAGCTTGTTTCTCCATTGTTTGTAAACACTTTCCAGTATTTGGCAAAACGCTTTTTATATTGTAAATGAATAAGATCCAAATGAAATGACAATGGAGCTTTTGTTTTTGACCAAATCAAACACGGAAAAGGGTTGGGTCAAAGCCGATTTAAGACTGCGCAAAACTTAAAGCCATGCATTTACACGACGCCTTGCTTTTGCTGACGCTGAGAGTTCACTTCAAAAAATAATTTTATTCCAAGTTTCCGTTAATTAATTAAATAACAAACAAAATGGTTTCGTGGCTTTAGCTTTGTCGGTTCTTGACTTGTCAAGCTATGATTTATATAACAATATTATACTCCAAATCCCCAATAATATAAACATGCCGTATTTGACATAATAATATGATTAAAATTTATAGACTTAATGTGCTTCACACATTTATATTCGAAATTTTGATGTATTTAATTAATTATATAATACAACCTATGGTTAAAATCTTTACCCACAATTTGGTAAATTGAAACTGAAATGGATGTTCAAAATTTTCCTTATGAATAGAACTCTCCTCGAGTTTGTTGACATGGAATCATTTTAAACCCAAATCCCATATATAATCGGGAAGTACAAGAGGTTCTTTCAGTGGAATTTTAAAGATCAAAATTGGTAGTTAAAATGACGGTGATTAGAATTTATTAGTAAGTATAATTTGAGAATTGTGGATAGTTACAAATATGGAAATTTTCAGCTTTTTCAGGCTTACAGATTGGATTGAGAGAATTTTGAAATTCTAAAGTCGGCGATGTACTTTGTAATTTAATCGTGTGAATGTTATGGCATGTAAGATAAGTCAAGGGTATACCTGCCCCCCAAAAGATAAGTCAAAGGTTTTCTGTACGAAAACTACGGTGATGGGTTTTTATAAACTAAACTACGGTGATGCATATAGGAATTATCGATTAAAATAATATATTATTAGAGAAAAGATCTTACAAATTATAGGGCTGAGCTTGGTGGCTTGCCTACCTGCCCCATGG